TATTTACTAGCCTTATAATACCTACGATTTACTACGCGTAACTCATCCAACTTGAGCTCAAATCGTACACAGTACATTCGCCTAGCATCGTGCGAAATCGTTTCCTTGTATACACAAGCAATCCGGAGATACAGACTAAAACGTACGACACAATTATCCATTCTTTGGCCATCAATCCGAGCCGATTGCCCGCCTATATTCAAACAAAAGGCAGCTACTAACGCGCTATTGCTAACTCGGCGGGCAATGTGGCTCGATGGGAGATGCTGCTGATTGCGGTTGGCGTGCGTGCGTGGGGGTAGCGTGCCAGCTGTATGCCGGTATGTAGCTGTGTACCGGGTCAAAGGTTATCTCGCCGAGTGTTGCGTTCATGCGTTGATGCCTAATCACCCAGCGAGCCACATGCCTCGCCGAATTAGCAATAGCGCGTTAGTAGCTGCCTTTTGTTTGAATATAGGCAGGCAATCGGCTCGGATTGATGGCCAAAGAATGGATAATCGTGTCGTACGTTTTAGTCTGTATCTCCGGATTACTTGTATATACGAGGAAACGATTTCGCACGATGCTAGGCGAATGTACTGTGTACAATTTGAGCTCAAGTTGGATGAGTTACGCGTAGTAAATCGTAGGTATTTTAAGGCTAGTAAATGACGAATTTCCCTTGTTTATTGATGTCACACTCCTTCCCTATTATCTACTCCTGATTAACGTGTTACCTATAAGCATCCAGATCTTTCTAACAGAGACAGTGCTGAGTATGTCCCTCTCTCGCAGGTAGTCAGCAAGGAATCCAGACAAGATCATTACAATCCACGACATCAAATAGGGCAGAGCTGACACAAATCCATCCTAACCAATGAACAAATGAGCTATTTCATTTACAAAATATTTCAGATTTTAACGTTTAATTCACTTCACAAACCTTTTGTTTACGAGACATCTTTGCATACTGTGATAAAAGCTACATTGGAGTTTGCAGCAGAATTGCTTTGAGGCTATGAAATAAAGTGACTCAATTCTGTTCTTCGTATACATTATACCTTTGAAATATCGTACTTGAGAACTTCTTTCATGTAGGTGGGGAGACATATAAGCATCGTGTAGAATCCCCAGTTGTTACAGATGTGACCAACAGATATGGCCAACACTGGCAGAGACGTGAATATGCTTTTCCATGGTGGGCGGGTCGACTAAGGAAACAGCAACCAATACTAGTACATAAATGTTCCAACAAGTTTTGCACCTGACAGAAAAAAAGAGCCAAATAATAAACTATTAAACTTTAGTGTACACGCAAACCTTAACGGTGGTGTAAGAATACTGCCGAATATAAACAACTTTCCATTTCACTTGTACAAAAACCAAACTGTATAACTCTATAATGAATTGAAGCTTGTAATTACTTGAACCTAATAAGTGTGCATATTTATTGTCATCTTTGAAATGGAATACTTTGGAAAACTGTCTGAAAAGGAATACAAAATAGTGATAATTAAAGACATAGGAATGTGAATTGAATAGATCAGAGAGCGAGCAGGGACAGTATGATCTAAGAAGATGCCATCAAAAATCATGAATGTATACATATATACCTTCCTAGTGCATTTTTGACCTAGGGTAGACTGGATGTAATTTAGCTCGCTGGTTGATATGCGAGGGTGGTCCTCTGGAAAATTTCTAATTAGTACTGCCCATAGGACAAACCACACCACCCCCAATGAACCTGTAAAAAACATGGTGGTAATTAGACTAATACCACAACAGAAGTTTTGCTTCACATCTTGTAATCGCAAAATGTGGTGCGACAATTGCTGTGCTAAAATCACATTTTTTTAATATTTAACTCACCACATTTGTAATATAAATTAACAGATTCTGCGGAACTTACTATGTTTGTAATATAAATTTCCTGCTTTTTTGTATGAAAATAAATTCTAGTACAAAGACAGGTGAGGCATTTATATTATATAATTGCTTATACAACACAGTATTCTAACTGTGTAGTACAGTGTACTGTTACTAAATGATAGAGGGGATCTTTGAAAATGGAATACATACCTAGGGGATTTTATTAAATAAAATTGTTTTGAAAGTACAAGACCTACAAGTAAAATATCAGGAGATGAGATGAGACACAAAGGGACTCACGTTATGCAGCTGTAGACTGCAGGACAAAAATCTATATAATTCTCACCCTTCGCCCAACTTCTAACGAAACCCTTACGTACCAAACACATAGAAAACGGACGGCCATCCCCAGTACTCGCACAGCAGACCCGATAATGGCATAGCCACGACCGTTCCCAGCTGGCAGCCGGCATAGGAAAAGGCTATCAGCTTGCTTCTCTCCAGAGGAGGTGCCCAGTTACTCCACAGCGCGTGTGCGGCTGGAAACGTTACTCCCTGAAAGGGAAAAATCGGCATCGTCACGCGACGGCTGAGAATGTTGCACACTTGACGCGTGCCGATCAGACGGAACCGAGGCGTTCTTGCAAGGGTGTAAGTCAGTGAGAGGTTTACTAGCACTGACTCGTTGAGCGCAGGATCTTTTCGCCCGCCTTTAGTGCAAGGCCGAAGTTCATCTTCCCATCTTCGAACAATTGGCTTCTCCCCTCCCACGGAGATACAAGTAAGACGACAACGTTAAGCACTACATCGAAGCGACACGAGGAAGGTTACAACACTTAGGAGAACTGTCAACAATGCCCTGTAGGTGTAAAGCTAGGAGCTGTATAAGACTGCAGGTCAAATGCCCAACACACACTATATATGCCCACAACTATAGCCAATCTTTTAGTACAACCACTTCGACCAGTGTGAAGGATGAAGGTCACTCATGTTGACGTACATTCGAACTCCGGCGTAATCCATATACTATCTGCTCACCACATCTGTTCTACCCATGTCCCTACACCACAATGCACTTGAAACGCCCATCACGCGACTCCTAAACAATTAAACTCTTGAGTCTTAACCTCACATCTTGCACACTCTATACAGTACGTAAAATAGTAATAGTGATGTATTGATCCAAGATAGATGCAGATATAAGAAGACTGATGTAGTTACCCAAAGTGTCTCTTACCTCACCCAATCCCATTATCACACGGCTGGCCACCAATGCTGCGACATTATGATTTGTATTGGCTGCCAATGGAGTTAGGAAGGTAAAAAGTGTTGTGCATAAAACGCCTAATCCATAGACCCTGCAATAACAAGTCCACAACAGAATGTTTCAATGCAATGTGATAATATTGGACAATAAAAAAAGTTTTAATTGCAGTACACTGCACACACAGCTTGCAGTGACAAATTCATCATTGTAAATACAATAACCAGTCTCTCTCTCTCTCACACACACACTCTCTCTCCCTCTCTCTCCCTCTTTCTCAAGCTCTCTCTCTCTGTCTCTCTGTCTCTCACGCTCTCTCTCTCTCTCTCTCTCTGTCTCTCACACTCGCTCTCTCTCACTCAAATTTCGTAAAACCCTGGTGGCATACCAGTATAAGCTTAAAGCGTCGGTCGTGCCACGACTGGCCGCTGACATAAAAACCTGTTAAAAATCGCTGCTACAACATTTCACTGCATCTACGCCAGCATATTATGCTGGATTCATCAATCGCATGCCCACAAAAGTGCCGCTCTGTGTTGATGAACTACTTTGTACAACTTGTTCATCATCTGACAGTATTCGCACCTTTGACAAATTTATTCTAGTAATGTATTAATATCTATACAGTTTTGATAGCACTTATAATTAGTCTTTATGTCAAAAATTTTGACCGACTCAAAAACTTACAGGAAATGCTATAAATATATATCATTAGTTACCATATGTGATCGTAGTCATTTTATATTTACCATTTCGCCCCATACTTTTCAGCAAGTCGTCCGCCTGGCAGCTGTGTGAAAATATACCCATAAAAGAATGATCCCAGTATAATACCCTGAATTTCACTATCCCAGTAAAATGTTCCACCCTGGAATAAAAGAAATAGCTACATGTTAGCCATCGTGTTAACTCCTAATATAGAACCACATTAAATATATAATAAACCAGAAGTTCGAAATAGACAGAATGTCCTAATAAGTAATTGCCAATAAGAAGTATTCCTAAATGGCATATGAAGTTGATACCAACATAGACTATATATTACTACGACCATCTGAAATTAACAATACTACACACAGATTTCTTACCGTAGCAAAAATTATTATCACATCTTAAAAAGATGCCTATTCTTTAGAACATAATACATACAGATCTTCACTTACCGATAAAAAAAATTAGTTTTTCAGGGTTTCTTCCGAGGGAAAATTAGACAACGGAGGTAATGGCCAGTTTGGGGAAAAAATGCGCATGATGGATTTAAAGACGTGGTCGACTGATTTGAATGGTAAAAATTGTTATAGGAGCATTTTCACAACGGCGATGTTAAATTTGACAACGGCGGTGCGCCACTGTACCTCTTATGTATAAGAAACCCTGTTTTTTAAGGATTCTGCTATTTTCTACCTGGTCTGCACAACTGTGCGTTAGATTATACATTCATGGATTGCAACCATTCTACGACACAACCAGGCACGAACACATCGACATAATCACAAAAATACAATGAGCGCATAGATACGTCGACGACCAGAGTCGGGGGCTTACGTCGAAGCCGCCGCCCGTCGTCACGTTGTCGGTCGGCGACGGGCAATCGTCCGTCTGGTTGATCACGGGATCCGCCTCCAGCATGGTGACGTTCACCATGGCGAGCAGAGCGACGCTGAGGTTGACGCGCAGCGCGTAGACATTGAAGAAGCCGAGGAACATCATCATGGCTAACGTGTGACGCGCGCTCAGCACGCCGCTCTCGGGCTTCTCGCGACCGCCACTCCGCGGGACGCCTGCCGAAGAAGAAGTAAAACTTTGACGCTGCAATACGTGGCGTGTAACAAAGTATTATTTACTCAGAAAACGTCTCCGAAAAACCACTTTGCATCCTATAAGCTGAGGGTTGGTGAAGCAGGCATTATCTAAGCCACGATTTTTACCTGCTATATATATACATATATACGCATCAATGGAATAGCAAACAGTATCATATTAGACTAACTAGTGCAGATAATGAGGAGTGCCTGTCAAATGCAGGGAGTTCAAGTCAAAAACAGGAAAATCAAGGGATCAGCCTTATTTGTGGTGAGCATATACGTGGTAGTGGGAAGGGCTACGTATATTGCAGTCTAACTTTTTTCAGATCATTGCGTTTTTAGTTTTAGGAGTGGGGAGCACCTTAAAAGCCATGAAATACTGCAATTACAGTTACGCAGTATGCAGTGTTCATAGAAGCATTGGCTAATGAATACCACGTACCACCCATGCATACAATGGAAAACTAGCATTATATTCCCAAGATATTATTGCCATAGGAGGACAGCCAGATTCTGACCAACATACAGGTAAGTGCAGTGTATGATCACTGACAAGTGCAGGGCGCATCAGAGCCATCCCCCCACTATCCATGACTTAATACCAGAAGACGAGTCACTAACAAGTGCCGCAAAGTGACAGGGATGCTGTTCTGCGGATAAACTCTAAATTGCAGTCATGCATAGCAATGCATATTTAAGTTCCAAATGTGTTTACGTATGACCTGAAACATGAGCCTTTGTTAACAGTAACATCAATGTTTAACCCTCCTCTAAAGGGTCAAAAGGTCACTGGACAGCTATTCTTCGAACATCAGTGGAAAGTACATTTCTTGGTCTCATTTGGTCCATCAGACAATGTTCTCAAAGAATGTCTAACATCTGTATTTTGCCTCACTGCCCTTTGACCTGTCACCTCAAATTTTGTGCCGATTATTGCTTTTTCCACTATGATACTATATTAGTGATGGGAATCGGCTGGAATTTCATAATCGTTAAGGGAAACCGATAATCCCGATCGATAATCGATTATAATCGGATAATCGGTTAATAATAGCATAGATTTAATTTAATCTTACTTTGTATATACAATTATACATAGCATTCAATATTATCATGTTTTATGATCATGTATTAATTCTGTGAAGGTTTCTGTATGTATATCAATGTCTGTTCCTATACAGTATTT